AGAGGTAATGAGTAATTGAACTGCAGTCCGAGAGTGTATAATTGAACTGAGTATTGTTGGAGTTGAGCACGTGAGACGTTCGTTGTTATAGCGTTTTTTATAGCTCGACTGTTGAAATTAAGTGTATCGCAAAGTTATATTCAGAAAGAATAAACCAGTTTTATTTAAAAAAGGACTTGCGTCGCTAAAGTTTCGTGGGAACGAATTTACGGAAAATTAACTAACGAACGGAGACGTAACAATACTTCCTGTACCATTTCATTTTTATTGAAAGAATTTGATAATGTTTATTATTACAAACCCGTGATTATGTACATAAGGTTCAGTTCATCCAGGGTATACTATTCCAAAATCACTAAATATTCGCCATACATATGGCACTCTTGTTTAAGAGACAAAAAATAGAAGTTTGAGTTCATATTAACATAAAATGTTAAGTGCAGTGGCGTAACTACAAAAGACCCCCCCCCCCGAATAAAAGTAATTGGGCCTCCTACATTGTAATTATTGTAGTCACGATTCTGGCTGATTGATATCATTAACTTAACAGAATAGTGCAACCGCCCTTTAGTTCAAACAAATTAAACTGTATGTCTCTATCCTTGTCGGCAATTATTAAGTTTGTCAAGGCACTTCAGGCCCTCTTTTGTCTCGGGCCCTCTTGCAATTGCTGGGGCATACTTACTTTGACTTGCGTTTATCAGATTATTCATTTCTATTTAATATTCTGTCGTTTCAATAGTAAAGAAAATTAAAAAACTCTAAATTAGAAACTTAAATGTTGTTTATAAATCTACAAGCTCTGTGAAATAAGTGAACAAGGTCGATTATGAAAATATATTACTGTCTGGTCAAAAGGAATTTTGAAAATCTGATGATATCGAAAAGAAGAACATGTATCAACAATTTAATTAAACAAATCCTGCAAGTTAATATCTATAATAACTGGAGATATGACTTTCCAATCTCAGGAAAAGATTGTATTCACCAATTTCATAAAGCTTAAACGTTCTGACGTTGGAAATTCATATGTAGTATGGGATCCCAAAATATAGGAGTCGATAACAAAAAATATTTCCTGGTCTTAATTCACATGTAGCTGTTTATATGAGCAGTCACTATGACACGTGGAACGTCACGTTAACAAAATACACAGGAATTACGGTTCCGAGTTCGTAGGTATTTCAAATAAAGTTCCCCAGCATCAAATAGAAAAGGCACAAAAAAAGTCACTGCGCAACTTCACATTTTGAAAGTTACTAAGAAAAAACATTCAAAAATACAGTATTTTATTTTATTTTTAGCTCTAGTCTAGCAGAATTACTTTTTCACTTTTATTAAAATGATTCAAATAACTAAAACATATCACAAAAGACCGTGTAAAACGAAGCAATGAAAAAACACGTTTGTAGGAATATATTATTAAACACACACATCAAAATAGAGTATACACTTATGTTAACATATGGGTTATGAAGGAGAACCACAGAGCCTACAGCATTGCCAGTTAGTACTGGTGTACAAAAACATCTGCGGAACACATATATGGAAATAAAAAACAAGGTCTCTGTGGCGTTCCAAAGAGACCTTTAAATACCGGAAATCTTATTTCATCATAAGAACTCAGTAGTATAAACGTAATCTACATCGAATGTATAATATGCCATCCGTCCATTTTAATAACAGAATCTAGACGATGTAGGATGTGATGTACAGCAACATGAAATCTATCTTCAGCGATTTGAATCACCTAATGTTGAATATGATGTTTTTTGTTCCATTGCTAACTTCGGGTAATTGAAACGATCCCATCAATTGATGAATGAATGACATCTGACACTATTATCCCGCCAAACTCATATTAATTATAATTCCTAATAACGTCAACCAATAAACAAACACGATTTCAAGGTTACCAATTGTAGTTTTTTTTAATATGCAAAATATATTTCACATATGTTTTAATACACTTGTATAGACTAGCAAAACTGAAGGTTATAAGGTACTCCCACAACCTATACGTTATTACCCAAACTTATCTTGTGTCTGACCTATCTTTCACATATGTTTTAATACACTTGTATAGACTGAAGGTTATGAGGTACTCCCACCACCTATACGTTATTACCCAAACTTAGCTTGTGTCTGACCTATATTTGAGGAAGGATTCCGAGTTTATTAAAATTTTGGAAGGATTGATTAATAACCAGTAAACTCGTTGAAACATGAATATGATTAATCTTTTCGGCACGATAAAAATAACACTATAAATGACACGCTTCCTGTCAAAATAAAAAAACTCACACTTGTATTTACAAGAACCTACCTCAAGTGAGAAACGCCGTTGGGCTTTTAGGATGTCGTACTTCTGGGTTCTTCTCATTACCTTAGCAAGAGCATCCGCCATTGTTAGAGCCGTAAATACAGTAATCTTACTTAGGTGATATTCTCATATCTCTTGTATCCGACTGTTTCGTTCATTGATTTTCATATTTCACTGTCTATAACGAAATATTTTCTTTAGGCAAATCTATTTTATCTTAGACGTAATGGCAATTTTATCGAGAATTAATTTTCCTTTGTGGAAATGCAAAACACCTGCACGTGGCTTTACACTTTCACTCTTTTGTCATAGTTTAGTACGATCATTGCGTTCACTCACGAAAATATGAGAAAGAAATATACACAAGATGAAATAAGCAACTCAAAACGAGTTAATTTATACTTTATCCAATAAATATATAACAGCTATCATAATAAAACCGTTGCCAGAATCAAGAAGAGTATCACTTTTCTTTAGCTGTATTTTTTATGAACTGTTTACGTAAGTTTTTACTAGAGGCTCTAATCTTCCCCGATGAGTCACATGTCACCTTATCGAGTCACTCAAACAATTTTATATAGATTCATTCCACACGTAATCACGAGAGCAAACGTCCATGTGTAAACGTTACATTAAATATAAAGATAACGTAAAGTTTAAAAAACAACGCAACTTTAAATTTATAAAAATATGAGAGACGAACAAGGAAACTTCCCGTTTTCACACTGATAATTCTATACATAAGCTGGACTCAGATAGAAGGAAACGAAGCTCGAGTTCGTTGCTTTTGATTCAGTTGTTGCTCGTCGTATGACTTCCATCTTCTGCCTAGGTTAATGGTCACTAATACCAGCCAGATAGTTAAAGCAAGTTCCCGGAAAAACACCGTTCAAACTGCAATAATAGAACACTTCTTAATTACGTATTATTTAATTTTCGAAATAATGTAATGACTGTCAATTATATTATTTTACAGCTGCTTATAATATATATATATATATATAGAGAGAGAGAGAATAATTTCGACAGCTGCAAGATGATTTGACGTTCGGTTGTTTACTCTTTTAACCACGAATATTTCATGGGTCATTTCACGGAAAGATTGGTGCACTTCTGGATATTAATGCGCGCTTCGAACTTGAGAGTTGAAGTCGTAAACATTTCTTTACTGATGAGTGTTTGGGTTCAGCTTCTGTATTACATGGATGGGTTTGAGTTTATAAGAATGCGGACATTTTTACAATCTGTCACGTGATATAATCAGATACGGAACTAGATGATGCTTACTTCTCTCACGCAAGTTCCCGTTTCCTATACACGCTTACTTCCTCTTTTGTCTTAATAACTAGACCCCACTTTCTCTCAAGACTTGCTGTCGCTCATAAAACCTAGGTTGAGTGAACTGTATTACGGCTATACTTTCATTGACTAAAGATAAAAACAATAACAACAACAACAAAAAAATCAGTTAAAGATCAGTTTAGGGACTCAAACTGGTACGCACTATTTACATGTTAATATAACTAAATTATATTGTTTTGTTTTAGTCTGAACAAAAACAATTATCTCATCAACAAAATAATAACTTCGGAAAACCATAAGTTTATAACAAGTAGAGAAATCCCTAGTTCTTAATTACACTATCCTGTTTCGAACGAGTAAATATTCTATATTTCTTGAACAGCGTTAGACATGAGCGTAGATCTCACTAACAGTAACTCTATCAACAAACACGTATAACAAAACTTGTTGGTTAGATTAAATATGTGGTCGTCACGAAGTCAGTAAACTTTCTGCTAATAAACTTTCATATGGCTGCCTCCAGAAGAATACTTCACGGGATCCAAATAATCAATGTATTTTTCTTAAGTTGAGGAAGTCATGAAGACAAAATACATCGTGGGTTGAGTCATAAGGCTTGCTTACAAATCATGACTGTTAAACAGTGCATTGTTCCCTTTGCTTTTTGAATGAAATATACTGAAGTAATTTCATGGGATTTTATTAACAGTTCTTCACTCGGTGTATTTAATCGCCAGATTTCCTACAGGTTTATTCGCATCGTATTTCATTAAAGTCTTTTAAAATTAATGAAAATTTCTGAAGATTTTTTTAACATACCTTACCGATGAGGAAACTACCGATATACGTATGAAGAACACTGAAACCAGGATCGATGTTTTCGAGTGTGTTTGGTTAACTCAGCTTGTACACTTGTGAAAACAACGGGTGCATGCGTACGCTTCTCATAGTCTACCTCAACCTTAAACAGGCAATTGGTGTTAGCCCATTTCCAAACAAGTCAAGAGTTACACAGCCCACAACATGCGTCCACCCACCCAACACGCAGGCCTGCAATATAAGCAACTTTGCGGCGGCAATCTGGTTTGCTACATGACCCACGCATGTACCTCTATATAAGTTACGTGCATAACATAAAACTTGTGCTCGAGGCCGTTCAAGGTTTTCATTGGCCCAGCTGACAGGTGGAGTATGACGACAGGTTTCACGTTACTAAAAGGTAGGATGTTGTGACCACCAGAAAATTTTGAACAGTTTATTAACAAATCTTTTTAAATATTAATCAAAAATTAACAATTTCTATTATTTTCAAATAATACTCAGCCTACGAAGGCTACTGCAGTGAAAGCTACCAACAGACTACCAGAAGGCGTAAAGATATATATGTAAGTAAAGAAAAACTTTTCAAGAAAGAAAATAAATGTAGGAGTAATATTAGCCATCCTTGCACTTTCTTCCTTTTTGAAAACGTTTTCTTTACTTGTTTGCTTGTGTTTTTAATGCAGTGTTTTAATTGCCATAGGAAGGTTGTATAAATAACTACGTTATAAATACAATGAGGTTACAACTGTAATATTTATTGTCCATCCATTATTGGTTTGGTAATTCCTGTTTCATTCTGTACTTAAGCTATTTAAAGGAACACCAAATTTCTGTAAGAAAGCTGACTGTAAGGGGCAATGATAACATCATTTACGCTAGAACTGGGATTTTTTTAATTACTGCTAGTTGCTAATAATACTTATAAAAGCAGACACTCCACTTGAAACCTCAGTGAAATTGGTTGACACCAGTGTATTGGTTTTGAGTTATGTTATAAAAAAGAAGCAGAAGAAAGATGAACGAGAATTTCAAAATTCTTGATATGATACTTACATACATTCCCAGAACTTGTGACACAGTCATTACATAGATATTGTTATAAAAGGAAACACTGTACATTATTGTAAAGTTTTGATGACCTATTGAGGAGATCTTTAAAATACCATTTCGATGAACAATCGGAGGTATCCCTACATAGGCAGTGCTACCACTTGCCTGATACACTTTTATACTGTTGAGATTCTTGTTAATCACGAGAAAACGCCATAAATAAATAGCTGGACTAAACGTTAATTGAAATCACAGCAGAGACGTTATAGTGTACCCTCAAACTCAAATACAGAGAGTACTGTTGATTTTCAACTTTGATGATACAGAAGACACATGTGTTTAAACAAAGAGAAAAAAGTGTCTATACCTTTGTGTCCCATTTTAGTCGCCAGGAAAAACTTATATGTAGAATTAATTAGAAGCAGTCACTGTAACGCAGGAAGCGTTATGCTTTACTTAATCAGGGGTCAGTGTAAAAGCAAATATTGTATTCTGATCATGAAAAAGACCAATTCTTTATGCCAGACGTTTCAGATTTTCGGAACTCACGACCCAGCTGAGAAGCCAGAAAATTTTATTAGGCCCATGCTCATATGGGGGACGGGGAGTTACTATTCTAATATATTACAATAAAGCCTATTAGTAGTAGTGCTCTTATATTTTTGTTTGCTTAAACAACTTTGAGGATCATTATTTCATATAAAAGTTTAAAATAAAAACATACGGTTTATCGAGTCTTGTCATTCCAATACTCTTGTGGCTCGTGATTTGGGAACCGCTATTCTATGTAATGCAATGCGACAGGCTATATAAATCTTGAGATAACTCTATAGCAGGATGATGTACAAAATTTTCGAACATCAGTGATTTTATATACAAACTTAAACTTCTTCAGGACAAATTCACAAAAAAATAAACTTTAAAAGTAACCATATGTTTGTGTAAGCCGAGCAGTAGACGTACAAGCTTCTTATGTTGAATTGGACTTTATCAGAGGCAAACTAAATCAAACTGTGAAAATACAGGCACTGTAGGCATGTAAGCGATTGGTCAGTGTAGCTAGTGTTTAAAATATATAGGTATGTAAGTGACTGGTTAATATAGTTGTTTGTCTGTTTGTTATCAAGAACAAAATTACACAGTGAGCCATCTGTGCAGTGCCCACTACGAGTATCGAAACCTGATTGTAGCGTTATAAGTCTTCAGACTTACTTCTGAGCCACAAGGGAGTAGGGCATTGTAGCTCATGTTTAAAATAAATTACATCTTCATCTGCGTATAAATCAAAATAAGTCAGTTACATCCCTGCAATTTAATTTTTCCTAAAATACTACCAAAGGACTGGAATCAAGGTAGAGAGATACTTTGGATCTTATCATCGGACATTTAAAGTGGTTAGACAAGTTGAGTTATAAATTAAATCTTAACTAAAGTTAAATGGGTGCAAGAAAATTACGATTATGTATAACAAAACAAGATTAATCAACAAGATAATAATTCGTAAGAACATCGGAATGAATAAAGTGACAGGAGGCCAACTTCATTTAATCATCAAGAAAAATGTAATTTCAGTAAAGAAACTAAACTTTACCAACGGATAGTTAATCATATTTTTAATCACAGAATAAAAACAAAACATCTGTACCGTTATCAAAGAACTTCTAATAAAGGGGGCATTACGAACCAAAAATCATATTGGGCCCATAAACCTCAATCAACCAATTAGACTTTCTACAGTTCCAACTGTTACGACATCGAGGTCACGTGATTAGTATCACGCCACGTCATTCTCGAACATTCACGTCTTTTCCTTAAATCTCGTGATCCTTCTAGTTATAGTATAGTCTTGTATATATAAGACCGGCTACGAAGCGACGGGGAGGTAATGAGTATTTGAATGTATGCGGACAGAATACTGTTGGCCACGTGAGACGTGAGTTACAGCGTTTTTTATAGAGCGACTGTTGAAATTAAGTGTATCGTAAAGTTGTATTCGGAAAGAATAAACCAGTTTTATTTAAGAAAGGACTTGTGTCG